CGTGACATCGAGTGACGTCACGCGAGCGGAACTCGGCCACGTGACCGCGGCTGGCCCCGCCCACTTGGAGGGGCGGGGAAAGGGAGGTGACGTCATGGAGGGGGTTGGGCTTAGCCGAGGGGCGAGGGGGGAGGGGCGAAGTCGACTCACTCAGAGTCACTCAGTCACTCACACAGTCACTCACAGTCACTCATAGTCACTCATAGTCACTCACACAGTCACTCACAGTCACTCACACAGTTACACAGTCACTCACACAGTCATACACAGTCACTCACAGTCACTCAGTCACTCACACAGTGTCACTCATAGTCACTCAGAGTCACTCACACAGTCACTCACACAGTCAATTACACAGTCACTCACACAGTCACTCACACAGTTACTCATTGTCACTCACACAGTCACTCATAGTCACTCACAGTCACTCACAGTCACTCACACAGCAATCACACAGTCACTCACACAGTCACTCAGAGTCACTCACAGTCACTCACAGTCACTGACGGAGTCACTCACAGTCACTCACAGTCAATTACAGTCATTCATAGTCACTCATAGCCACTCATAGTCAATTACAGTCACTCATAGTCACTAACAGTCACTCACAGTCGCTCAGTCACTCATACAGTCACTCAGAGTCACTCAGTCACTCACAGTGACTCACAGTCACTCACAGAGTCAATTACAGTCACTCAGAGTCACTCAGAGTCACTCACAGTCACTCACACAGTCAATTACAGTCACTCACAGTCACTCACACAGTCACACAGAGTCACTCACAGTCACTCACACAGTCACTCATAGTCACTCAGAATCTCTCACACAGTCACTCATAGTCACTCAAAGTCACTTACAGTCACTCACACAGTCACTCACAGTTACTCAGAGTCACTCACAGTCACTCATAGTCACTCATTGTCACTCACAGTCACTCATAGTCACTCACACAGTCAATCACTCAGAGTCACTCAGAGTCACTCAGAGTCACTCAGAGTCACTCAGTCACTCACACAGTCACTCACACAGCCACTGATACAGTCACTCATAGTCACTCAAACAGTCACTCACACAGTCCGTAGTTCCATTTATTTGGAATAGCCCTGTGAGCCATTCGGCTCTTGAATCGGGTGCAACCGCAACAAACAAAAAATAAAAACACGAACAAGAAAAAACATCTTAAAGTGACTGTGTGTGACTGTGCAAACAGAAAATCCAGGAAAAAAAAAACATCAAAATATTCCTGAAATAGCACCGTACACCAAAGCTGTGTGCAAAAATCCCAGTGGAAGCAAGTCAAACAACAACAAAAACAATCACAAGACAACTAAGATTTAGGCCATCAGTCTAACTCCGTACTACAATAAACAAAAACATGGCCAAACCAAAAAAACGTTTTCGAAATCACCAAAATAAAAGCCATAAATGCAATGTAACAGTGATCATAGGGACTGTGACCGAATTTTTAACAATAAACTACATAAATAAGTAATAACACCAAACCCGAGAGCCATATTTTAGGCCACTGAATAGCAGTGGCAGCTAGGGGTGTACAATTCCTCTAGAGCAGTTTTGAGTGAAGATCTCATAGGTAGTGATTAAATTTGCAGTTTATTGGCAATAGCATTCCAGACCCTGGGGGCATCAATAGCAAAGGCCCTTCCTCCGGTTCTTGTACGGCAATAGGGAATGTGAAGCTGGTAGATGAGCGAAGACCTGAGGTCAAATTTGTTCTTTGAAACAGAGAGGAGATCCAGTAGGTAGTCTGCGGATTTATTTGTAAGTACATCGTGAATAAATAAGATCTGGTGCACAAGCCGTCGAACATTAAGATATGTTAAGTTTGACCCAATGTAGAGATCACAGTGGTGAGTCCTATATGGGCAGTTCAATGCAAATCTTAAGGCCGAGTGATAGATGGAATCAAGCTTCTTCAGTACAGTACTTAGGGCTGATTTATACACGATGTTACAGTAGTCAAGTAGAGGCAGTATGGTAGCTTTTATCAATTCCAAACGGAACATTTGGGGGAGGCAATGCTTGTGTCGATACAGAAAACCAATTTTTATTTTTGTCTTATTACCAATATAATCAATGTGATTTTTTAAATTAAGTTTTGACTCCAGGATTGACGCCAAGATAGTTATAGATCTTGACTTTCTCTATTTGATAATTATTCAAGGAATGTAATTGGGGAAAAATAACTTCCTGCTTTAGTCCCGGTGAGAAGCATAGCACCTTAGTTTTGGATGTATTCAGGACTAGTTTAAGAGAAACTAGCTGATGTTGTAGTTTGTTGAAATCACCCTGGAGCTTAGCAATCACGTCATCCGGAGAGCGACCAGCAGTAATCAGTATCGTGTCATCTGCAAAAAGATTTACCCTGGAATGATCCAGGTCAGTGCCCAAGTCATTGACATAAAGAGAGAACAAGAGGGGGCCGAGGATAGAACCCTGTGTAACCCCTTTTGTTATCTTAACACTGTTTGACCTCCAACCATCTGTGAATACAGTTTGGGTGCAAGAAAAGACGTATTTTTTTAACCATTGTACTGTGTTCTCGGAAAAACCGAGGCAACTTAGTTTAGTAAGAAGGGTGTTGTGGTCTACTGTATCAAAAGCTTTGGACAGGTCAAGAAAAAGACAGGCAGAGTACTGCTTATTACGAAGGCTATTGTAAATTTGATTCAAAGAGTCTAATGCAGCAGATGTGGTGCTGTAATTTTTTTCGGAACGCAAATTGTTTTAGATGTAGTAGATTGTTGGTGGACAGGAAACTGCTAATTTGGTAGTTCAATATTTTTTAAAAAAAATTCAGCAATGGGGACAAAATTGAGATAGGTCGGTAGTTATTGAGATCATCTTTAGGGCTCCCTTTGTGAAGTGGACGGACATAGGAATGTTTCCATTCTAGACGAACTGATGCTTCTCTGATGGACAGGTTGAAAATATGGGCTATATGTTTGTATATTAGGTGACCAACAGTTAGTAGAGCAAAGACGGGGAAACTATCTGCTCCGGTAGAGGAGGACCCTTTGAGGTAGGACAGTTGTTTCAGAATATTATTTTCGTGGATTGGTTGAAAACTAAATTCGTTTAATGTTTGGACAGGGGTGTAGGAATTTGCAGGAGCAAGGGTGACTCCAAATACATTATCAAAAAGATTACCAGCTTCAGAAAAATGAAGGTTAAAATTGTCAACTATTTTTTGAGGATCTGAAAATATTCCCCATTTCGGTTAAGCTCAACGGGCAAATTGTCTGTTTTGGATGCCTTTTCGATAGATTTGATTGTTTAGCAAAAAATCCTGGCATTTCCATGTGATTCCAGGAGAGTGGAGGAAAAGTAGGCATTTTTTGCATGCCGTATTTTTTTTACGCATCTATTCCTTAAAATCCTGTATTCTAGCCAGTCATTTACCAAATTACTTTTCTGAGCACATGCCCAAGCCTTGTCCCTCGTTTTCATGAGCTTTATAATCAAAGGATCATACCATGGTGGGCGGTTGCCTTTAGTTTTAAATCTAACCAACGGAGCATGTTTGTTAAGAATTTGGAGAAACGTGTACCTGAAAGTCTCCCAAGCCGTAGTCAGGTTGGGGATATCACAGACCTTATCAATATCCGAGTGAAGCACATCATTTGTAAATGCCTGAGTGCTGAAGTGCCTCAAAGAGTGCTTCTCAACAATTTTATGGGGGGCTTTGGGTCTGGCTGATGATCTCACCCCAAAAATGAAGGAGTGATCACTAAGGTTTTTACCCAGAACACCAGTCAGTGCGAAATTGTGAGGGGCATTTGTCAAGGCCAAGGCAACAAAGGAGTGGCTCAAGAAGAAGCACATTAAGGTCCTGGAGTGGCCTAGCCAGTCTCCAGACCTTAATCCCATAGAAAATCTGTGCAGGGAGCTGAAGGTTCGAGTTGCTAAACGTCAGCCTCGAAACCTTAATGACTTGCAGAAGATCTGCAAAGAGGAGTGGGACAAAATCCCTCCTGAGATGTGTGCAAACCTGGTGGCCAACTACAAGAAACGTCTGACCACTGTGATTGCCAACAAGGGTTTTGCCACCAAGTACTAAGTCATATTTTGCAGAGGGGTCAAATACTTATTTCCCTCATTAAAATGCAAATCTATTTATAACATTTTTTACATGCGTTTTTCTAGATTTTTTTGTTGTTATTCTGTCTGTCACTGTTCAAATAAACCTACCATTAAAATTATAGACTGATCATTTCTTTGTCAGTGGGCAAACGTACAAAATCAGCAGAGTATCAAATACTTTTTTCCCTCACTGTACACTGCACTACTATACACTACACTACTATACACCACACTACTATACACTACACTACTATACACTACACTATACACTACACAACTATACACTACACTACTATACACCGCAATACTATACACTGCACTATACACCAATACTATACACTACACTCCACACTAAATATAGTTTAGTTGTATTTGTGTTTATATTTGTTGTGATTTACCTTTCCTATACTTTGCACTCACATCGTGTTTGTGAGTATCGTGTTTGTTAATGTTGTTGTGGTTGTTGTTGTGGTTGTTGTTGTTGCAACCTCCCCCCCCCCCCGTGCCTCCCTACTGGACCATCTGTGACAAACAAGGAGCTTCATAGCTCATCAGATTCCCTCCTCCTGCCGTCTTAACGTAAACCTTCCGATTGGTTGCGATCTCTCCCAGCTCACGGAGGCGACATCCAGATCAAAGAAGAGGACACGCAGAGCGATGCAGGTGATGGAGGAGGAGGTGATGATGGTGATGGAGATGAAGGAGGAGGTGATGTTGGTGATGATGGTTGTGGAGATGATGATGGAGGAAGAGGAGGAGGTGATGATGTCCTCTACATCAAAGAAGAGGACACGCAGAGCGATGGAGATGACGGAGGAGGAGGTGATGGAGGCAATGATGGAGGAGATGATGATGATGATGATGGAGGAGGAGGTGATAGCGATGGACGTGGTGGTGGTGATGATGGTGATGATGGTTGTGGAGATGATGATGGAGGAGGAGGAGGTGATGATGTCCTCTACATCAAAGAAGAGGACATGGAGACAGACTGCGACGATGATGATGATGACGATGCTTTGGAGGGCCGCATTTTGCACGACGGCTCCACCGTGAGGTCCGGGCCGGCCGTGGCCTCCTGGCGAGGGCGAGGAGCCACGCCGGGCGTCGCCGAGATCGAGGTGGAGGTGGAGAGCGACGACGGCGACGACGGTACGGGAGGGAGGGAGATGGGGGGAGGGGAAGGAGATGGAGGGAGGGAGATGGGGGGGGGGAGATGGGGGGGGAGAGAGATGGGGGGGGCAGGGAGATTGAAATGGAGGGAGGAAGGACAACCTGGACATTGGCCATTCGATTCCATGAAACATATCTACGGCATCACACACACACAAGGACACACACACACACACGGACACACAACAACAACCGCCATTCGTCACTAAGTGGCGGTGTCGTCACCACGACGCTTGTGCCAGGGCATAGGCACCTTGAGGCCACGTGGAGTGTCGATCGCCCGCTGGCAGGAGGTCACGGGGCAGACCCAGGTGCCACGGGTCGACTGACTGAGATGACTGGCTGATGCACCACCTGTGCCCCCTACTGTGCCAACCTGCTGTGCTTTATCCACCCGGCGCTCCGCTCATTGTTGTGAGCATCGCTCCTCCGCCCTCCGTTGTTGTTGGAGGGCGACTACCTCCAACTGCCCAGTAGCGTTCTTCACGAGCCTCCTCCACAGAGGCCGATCCTGGTACCAGTCATCGGCAAGTCCACTCAGCTCCACGTCCTCCTGCCGCGCCCGTTTAGCCCCCTAGATCCGGCCGAACAAAAGCTGTTTCGGCATGCGGTGGCTAGGCATGCGGGCTACATGACCCAGCCATCGCAGCCTTGCCCGCCGGAGGAGATCACCGATGGAACCTTGACCAGATCATTCAAGGATTTGTGAGCTCCTCACACAATCCAGTCTGGTTAAACCCAGGATGGATCGTAGGCAGGCCAGCCTAAATGTTTCTAACCAGCGAAGATGTTCCATTAGGGGGGTCCACGTTTCGCAAGCGTAGACAAGGGAGGGAATGACCGTGGCCGAGAGGACCTGAAGCTTAGTGCGGAGCGACAGACCAGGTAGCTTCCACACAGCGTTACGCAACCGATGAAAAGATATTGCCGCTCGACTGATTCGGCGTGAGACCTCTGCTGTTAAACTGGAGCCAGTCATAAGCACACTTCCCAGGTATGGGAAACTCTCCACTCTCTCCACAACTGCCACATCACCGATTGGGAGTTGTGGGGGTGGAGTGTCGATGGTACAAAATACCCAGGCAGGTGCTTAGTTTTGGTGGGGCTGATGGTAAGGCCCCATCTCTTCGTGGCACACTCCAGTCTCAGCAGCAGCGTCTCCAACTCCACCTCTGAATGAGCAGCTATTACCAAATCATCAGCATACATAACGTGGTTGAGCAATAGGGAGCCATCCCTTGACCGCACCCGTGCATCGATCAGCCTCCTATTATATCTGTACCATATGGAGATTCCCCCGGTACAGCTATTGAAGGCTTCACGAACTACGTGGTCGAAATAGATGTTAAATAATGTGAGGGCCAGAGGACATCCCTGTCACACCCCAAGGTGTACAGGGAAAGGCTCGGACTCACGGCCACGTAGTTTTACCCGGGCCCGCTCACCATCATGAAGGTCCTTAATGATCGTGAGCAGAGGGTCAGGTACTCCAAAAGCACGAAGAACAACCCAGAGCCCAGGCCTATTGATGGTATCATAGGCCTTGACCAGGTCAATAAAGCAGAGATGTAGGTCTTGCTGGAATTCCCTACACCTCTGCTGTAGCACACAGACAGAAAATATGGCATTTGTGCAGGACCGCCCTTTCCTGAAACCGCATTGGGGCTCCGCAAGCCTCTCCTCAGCGTGCCTGGCAAGGCGATGTTGAATAATCCTTGCCAGGACCTTTCCCGGCACACTGAGGAGTGAGATGCCCCTGCAGTTGTTACAGTCTGTGCGGTCCCCCTTCTTAAAGAGGGGGACCACCAGGGCATCCTTCCAATCCTGCGGAACCCGTCCATTGGTCCAGACTGTTGTTATGATGTCATATAGGGCAGTCTGTGCACAAACTCCACCCTCCCTCAGAATTTTGCGTGGGAGATCATCTCTGCCCGCTGCCTTTCCTGGTCTCAGACTCCGAATCGCCCTCAGTACTTCCTCAACAGATGGCACTTCAGCCAGCCACTCACAGGGGGTGACGTCTTCCAATATTTGAGGCACCGCAGCCTCAGCAGGGTCATCCTCACTTTGTGCCACGATGTTTTCCTGGCTGAGGGATTTTACCTCCCCCAGGACCTCACAGAAATGCTCAGTAAATCTGCAAACCTGTTCCTGGGGGTCGGAGATTGGATCACCATTTTTTCCCCTAATGATGATAATAGGTGTGGCGCTGCAGGTTACTTTTTTGATGGAGTTAAATAGAGATTTGTGATCGCGGGCCACTGAGGCAGACTCCATCTCCTCAGCAACCCGCGACCACCACCCATCCTTGCAGCGCCTCACGGCTCTCCGAATCTCCGAGCGAAGGTTGCGGTAAGCCTCCTCATTCTCTGACGTGGGATTCTGTAGCCGATGACAGTGGGCCTGTCGCTTTTTCTCAACAATCCTGAACACCTCCTCTGTCAGCCAGGGTCTCTGGGGAGGTCCTGACCGCGTACCCAAAGCAGACATTGCAGCCGCATGAGTCATAGTTCTAAACCTCGCCCATTTACCCTCGACATCAGGAGGAGTGGGGGACGATGCCAACCCCAGCCGCAGGCGATGATGAAATTCTCGCTTGCAACTTTCATCAGATAACCGAGACCAGGCCACTTTTGGTTGGAATGGGGTCCTGGGTGTACACCCACCACCGGAGCGGAAGAATGGGCAGCGCATCTTACAGATGACAAGTCGATGGTCAGAGGGCAGATCAGCTCCACGGTAGGTCCTGGTGTCAAGGATATGGGCTCGCATCCGCTGGTCCGTCACTATGTAGTTCAGGAGATGTTCTTGCTTGGACTCGGCATGCATCCATGATGTTGTGTGGATGTGCCGATGCGGAACAGCGTGTTGGTAATTACAAGTCCATGGGCTGCACAAAAATCTAGCAGCCTCCTACCGTTGTTATTAAGCTGATCCGGCCCATGCCCTCCAATCACTCCAGGCCAGGTGCCAGCATCATGACCAACTCGGGCATTGAAGTCACCCAACAAGATGACTATCCCGAGGGGCCACTTTAGCCAGCACCTGTGGCAGGAGGTCATAGAAGGCATCTGACTCATCGGCTTTGCCTGCATCCCTCCACGGATGTTCATCTTCAGTGGGGACAGAAGTAACCACGACCACCATTCCTCGCCTCCAGTTGATGGGAAGGCGAGCCCAAAGTAGCCTGAGACTTACAGCTTCCCACACCTCACCGCCATGCTCCCACGCCCCCTTCATTCTTTTGTTCAAAAGAAGAGCCACACCCTGTTGTTTGGCAGTCTGCTGCCCCGAGTAGAGGACTGTCCACCCCTCATGGTGGCAGGAGCCAGAGCCGGTCCACCGGACCTCCTGAATGCCACACAGATCCAGGTGGTACCGGTCCAGCTCCCGACAGAGGAGTGGCAGCCTCTCCTCCGCAGTGAGCGTTCGAACATTCCACGTGGCCACCCCTAGTGGCTTTTCGTTGTTTCTGGAGGAGCCCCGAGGGTAGATATTCAATCTCCTGGCTCCGCCAATTGGGGTTTGGGCAGGAGACGTCATAGACGCCTGGCCCCCCGGGGCCTCCGGCACAAGCTTATTAGTTACATATTTCAGTTTAACTCGTGGTTTAGTGGTAATTAATTGAAGGTGGAGGGGTTATCAGCCCCTCGCACCCGTCCAGAGCCCCCGTTTAGCCCCTGTGGTGGTCACAGACGCCATGAGGGGAGGAGCCAATCAAAATTGGACCTCCCACCACAGCACTGGCCACGACAGAGTTGCCCTTCCGGCACCGTGAGGAGGTAGGGGGTTGTTTTGCCGGACCACGGACACACACACACACGGACACACGGGCACACACACGCACACACACACGTACATACGGACACACACACGTACACAGGCACACACACACGCACGGACACACACACACACACGCACACACACACGAACACACACACGGACACACGCGAGCGAGCGTCAAAAATCGCTTTCTCTCGAGAACGTAAAACCTTTGCAAGTTTTAAAGTTTATTTTTGTTGTTATTTTTAACGCCTCGCTTTCGTCTGCCCGGCCGGCGCCCGACGACCGCAGGCGCCGCGCTCGGCGGCGGCGGCGGTGGCGGCGGCCTCACGGGACGAGAGAGCGAGGAGGTCTACCGCAGCGAACTCGCCAGGGAGTTTGGCCTCCAGCCTCGCATGCGGTTGCGGTCGATGCGGACGAACGCCGGCAAGGGCCGCCGACAGCGGCGGCGGCAGCAGCAGCAGCAGCAGCAGGTCCTGGGCGACCCCTGCGCCTACGGAGCGGACGACGCCGACGGTGACGGCGACGACGCCGGCGACGGTAACGGTGACGCCGATGACGCCGACGCGTCGGATCCCCGGCCTCCGCTGAAACCGCAGCACCACCACCACCAGCACCAGCACTCGCACGCCTGCCCCGACTGCGGCAAGGAGTTCGCGACGCCCAAGAGCCTCCGGCGCCACCGCAAGATCCACATGGACGTGAAGCCCTACCAGTGCCCGGCGTGCGACAAGGGCTTCGTGCGCCCCTCCACCCTACGCAGCCACATGTGGATCCACACGGGCGAGAAGCTCTTCAAGTGCCCCGCGTGCGGCAAGAGCTTCACGCAGTCCTCCTCGCTGCAGTACCACGCGCGGACACACGCCGCCGAGGAGGAGGAGGAGGAGGAGCGGCGGCGGCGGCGTCGGCAGCTCCGCGCCCGCGGCTCCCCCCCGGCGGACGAGGCCGCCTCGGCCGACGACGCCGACGCGCGGGCGGCGGCGGCCGCGGCGGCCAGGCCGTACGCGTGCTTCGTGTGCGGCAAGGGCTTCACCCTCCCCAAGGTCCTCAAGGACCACATGATGACGCACACCGGCGAGAAGCCGCACGGCTGCCCCGTGTGCGGCAAGCGCTTCATCCAGTCGTCGGCGCTGCAGAGGCACGCGTGGACGCACACGGACGAGCGGCCCCACCTGTGCCCCGTGTGCGGCAAGGGCTTCACCGTGCCCAAGTTCCTCAAGGACCACCTGATGACGCACACGGGCGAGCGCCCCTACGCGTGCTCCTTCTGCGGCAAGGGCTTCATCAAGCAGCTCAACCTGGTGTGCCACGTGCGGTCGCACACGGGCGAGAGGCCGCACGCGTGCGCCGTGTGCGGCAAGGGCTTCGCCTACAAGTCGGTGCTCAAGCGTCACATGGAGACGCACGCCGGGGAGGAGGAGGAAGAGGAGGAGGAGGAGGGGGAGGGGGAGGGCGGGGAGGGAGTGGAGGAGGAAGAGGAGGTGGTGGAGGAAAAGGAGGAGGGTGTAACTGCTTCTTGAAGGATCTGTGTAAGGGTGTTTGCTTGTAAGGGTTGGCATCTCTGTGCAGACTGCCCTACGTGACATCATCGCAAATGTCTGGACCACAGGACGGGTTTCCGCAGGATTTTGACGGATGCCCTGGTGTAGCAACTATAGGGGCATCTCACTCCTCACTGTGCCCGGGGAAAGGTCCTGGCAAGGATTATTCAACACCGCCTTGCCAGGCACGCTGAGGAGAGGCTTGCGGAGCCCCAATGCGGTTTGAGACCAGGGCGGTCATGCACGGATGACGTATTGTCTGTCCGTCTGCTACAGCAGAGGTGTAGGGAATTCCAACAAGACCTACATCCGTGGATTGTTCTCTGTGCTTTCGGAGTCCCTGATTCTCTGTGCAAAATCTCTGCTCACGATCATTAAGGACCTTCATGATGTTGGGGAGACCCGGGTAAAGCTATGTGGCCAGGATTCGGAGCCATTCCATGTTCGCCTTGGCGACAGTAGATGTCCTCTGGCTCCCATATTATTTAACATCAGCTTTGACCACGTAGTTCGAGAAGCTTTCTATGGCTGTACCGAAGGAATTTCCATCTGTTATACAGATGCAATGGGAGGCTGATCGATGCCCGGGGGCGGTCAAGGATGACTTCCTATTGGTTAACCATGCTGTCTCTGCTGATGATCTGGTGATTGCTGCTCACTCAGAGGAGGAGTTGGAGGTGCTGTTGCTGAACCTGGAGGGTCCCACTAAGTGGTGGGGACTTTCCAACTGCCCCAGTAAACCTAAGCACCTGCCTGGATGTTTTGTGTCATCAAACACTCCACAAGCTCAGCTCCACATTTGTTGTGGAGCAGTTGTGGAGAGAGTGGAGAGTTGCCCATACCTGGGCATTGTTCTTATGACCAGCTCCGGTTTCACTCCGAATCAATCGGCATTATTTTTTCAATGGGTGCGTAATGCTGTGTGCAAACTTACCTGGTTTTTCGCTCCCCTCAAAGCTTCGGGTCTTCTTAGCCACATTCATGCCCTCTCTTCTGTATGCTTGTAAAATTTGGACCCCTCTAATGCAACATCTGTGCCGGTTAGAAATATTCAGGTTGGCCTGCCTACGATTCATCCTGGGTTTAACCAGGCTAGATTGTGAGGAGCTCACAAATCCTTGAAAGATCTGGACAAAGTCCCATCAGTGAGCTCCTCTGGCAGGCAAGGCTGCGTTGGCTGGGTCATGTAGCCTGCATGGCCAGCGACCACATATTCAAGCAGCTTCTGTTTGGCCGAATAGAGGGTGCTTAATGGGCACGGCACGGGCTAGAGAAGAGATGGAGTGATGTTGGAGCTGAGTGCACTTGCCGAAGACTGGTACCAGCGGTGTCAAGATCGGCCTCTGTGGAGGAGGATCGTAAAGGACGCTACTGGCCAGTTGGAGGCAGTCGCCCTCCAACTTTCTGTATTTTAGCCAGGCGGCTAAAATGCAGCAAGTTGGTACAGTAGTGGGTACAGCTGGTGGTGCATCTGCGAATCATCTCAGTCAGCCAACCCATGGCACCTGCTGGGTCTGTCCCATGACCTCCTGTCAGCGAGCCTTTCGACACTTCACGGGCCTCAAAGTGCACCTGGCCTGGCACAAGAACCATGGTGATGTCACCGTAATTTAATGGCGAATGGCAGGTATTGGTATTGACGTAAGGATTATGTAAGGATTTATGTATTTGTGTAAGGATGTACGTGTGTATGTAAGGATTAATGTGTGTGTGTAAGGGTGTATGTGTGTAAGGGTGTATGTATATGTAAGGATATATGTGTGTATGTTTGAATGTATGTATGTAAGGATGCATGTGTGTATGTATGTAAGGACGCATATGTGTATGTATCTAAGGATGTATGTTAGGATGTATGTGTGTATGTAAGGATGTATGTTTGAATGTAAGGATGCATGTGTGTATGTAAGGATGCATGTGTGTATGTAAGGATGCATGTGTGTATGTAAGGATGCATGTGTTTATGTATGTAAGGATGTGTGTATGTAAGGATGTATGTGTGTATGTAAGGATGTATGTGAAAAGGACTTCGGACGAGGTTAAGTATAGCTCAACTGTGTGGTTTATTCGCTGATAATGTGCAGACATAGAGACCATACTTATAGAGGCTTCACTCCAGAATGCGCCTCGAGATCTCTCTCGGGCTCTTCATATATATATCCTGTACCTCACTTTCTAGCAGGTTCTCTATCTTCTACTCCCCATTCTCCTTTTCCAACCGACCAAGTCAGTGACTGTGCTACTTTTAAACTTGGCCTGCCTGTGAAGTCCTTAAGACTTCTGGTATTGGGCTGGCCGCCAGGCCTAACTGTTACATATGTAGGGATGTATGTAATACCGGTGACGATTATATGAAACGGTCCTGGGCCTCCCCTAGGTCAACTCGGCCTCGAATGAGTACCTGGTGCGGTGTGTAAACATCGCCACTGGGGAGACAAAGGTGGCCGGGCGTCGTGTTGACCACCCACCCCCTCGTGTGCTGTGCCGGCCTTCATAGGTGCTCGCTAACAGCGCTTGCCCCAACAGTCTGTTAAGGCTACACGGGGGGGATCTTTGTCTTTGTGTGCGTAAGCACGAATGTAATGATGGTGTAAGGATGTGTGTGTAGCCGGTCCGCCACATGCCCTCTCTCCTCCGGTCGTGAATCCTGGCGAGGGGGGGGGGAGACAGGTCGGCTACATAGATAATAATAAGTAATATTTAAAAATACTTTTTTAAAAACACGCTTTAATGAAATGTACCGTACGAGTAGTCGCAGAACTCCACGACTCTAGGAAGTGGCCCCGAGGCTTGCCATAACGTAAGGGGCCCGTGGTGATTTACAGCCAACGTGAGTTGAGCATGGACAATTAGACCCAAGCCTAAACGTAACGTATAAAAATGAATGTTTAAAAATATATTTTTAATTTTTAACGATAGAATATAGTATTGTCATCAGTATGACATAAGTATACCAAGTTTGTAGTCGATACCACATTGGGAAGTGGGTTAACGTTGAGTTACAAGATTTGAGGATACGACAACAACAACAACACACAGAGTGAGTTAAATAAAAGCGTGTAATAATAAAAATAACGTTCAGAGACTACGATGAGTAAGATTTACTCTCCTTTGTGTTTATGTCCCTCCGGAGAAGTTGGGGGGGGGGGGGGGGGGGCACTCCACAACAGCTGAGCACCAGGGGAGGGGCGGTTTTTGAAACGGCAAATTTTTTTTCGTTATTTCAAAGTCTCTTTCCGAAAGGAGCGATCGCTTCCACCTGCAATAGTCACCAGACTACCCGATACCAATACAGCCGCCATTCGCCACTAAGCGACGGTGACGTCACCGCGGCGTCTGATGCCAGGCCCAGGTGCACTTTGAGGTTATCGCACGATGTGTCGAAGGCTGGTTGTCGAAGACCAGACTATCCCCCCCTCCCCTCCACGTCACAAATCTAAATTCATGATAACGTTGAACATACAAACATCTCTACAAAGAAACAACTGCCCAAAAACATCTGTTGTGTCTCCTGAACTGCCCACATTTTCGGATAATGTTGCGTAAATGAAACAACATGTACTTATATCATGAATAACAAAGCAATATTTAAACATCGAATTACATTAATTTCAAATTTGCAAAATTCTACTTTAACGGCAACGAACGTATATTGAACAATTATTCTTCGTTACGTGATATAACCTTTCGAAAAAATCCGCCTATTCTGCTCACCCCATTAGCTCAACGTTAAATTACTGCTACATAGTGGCCGGTCTGTACATTCCCAATGGACCGCAACAACACAACCGACAACGCTAAATGTTATCCGCCATCACCATACCTGTCAACCCACATGGTTTTACCCCTTATTTTTGTACGTGGGAAATTGGGGTCCATGTGGCCTCCAGGCGTTTGTGATGGGACTTTGTAGGATGAACGTTGAGATTAATCACGGCACGAGATGACCAATCGGGTCTGAATTTGTCTGTAATAAGGTAGGGCACTGATAAGGGGTTGACAGGTATGTAGTAGTGTAGTGTATAGTACTGTAGCATATAGTGTAGTGTAGTATATAGTGTAGTGTATTGTAGTGTATAGTAGTGTAGTGTATAGTAGTGTAGTATATAGTGTAGTGTATAGTAGTGTATAGTGAAGTGTATAGCAGTGTAGTGTAGTGTATAGTAGTGTAGTGTATAGTAGTGTGTATAGTAGTGTAGTATATAGTGTAGTGTATAGTAGTGTAGTGTATAGTGAAGTGTATAGCAGTATAGTGTGTAGTGTAGTGTATAGTAGTGTAGTGTATAGTAGCGTAGTTTATAGCAGTGTATTGTAGTATACCTGTCAACCCATATAGTTTACCCGTATTTTTGTGCAGGGAAATCGAGTTTTGAGGTCCACACGGCGTACAGCCGTTTCAGTTCGGGCAAAAAATGTGTCTTTGTGTTTCTCTCTCTTGATGGGACTTTGTAGGGTGAACGTTGAGATTTATAAAGGGCATGTGGGTGACCAACAATGTCTGAATTATTAATAAAGTAGGGTACTGATAAGGGGTTGACAGGTACGTATCACAAAAAATATCTACTTATATTTTGCATCACCAAAACACTCCACAATCATCTTCCGACTCGGCTATATATCCTTCGCTTCGAGTTGGATTGATGCAAACGAACGAGTTACTAATGCTCAATGGTCGTAATGATAATAATCAACTTGCCATGAGGGGCCCAACGCCGTCTTATTAGTAAGATTCGACCGGCAAAAAATACGGCAAACTAACATAGTGCGACTCA